GGGGCACATGGGACACCCATGGGGCATGTAGGACACCCAGGGGGGACATGGGACCCCCACCAGCACATGGCACCCCCAAGGCAGCCCCACAGGGCACATGGGACCCCCACGGGGCACACGGGACCCCCATGGTATCCATGGACCCCCACAGGGCTCATGGTACCCCCACGGCATCCATGAACCTACCACAGCACCCACAGGCCCCCCAGGACCCCCATGGCACCCACGGGATCCCCATGGGACCCACAGGACCCCTGGGGACCCCCATGGCACCCATGGACCCCCCAACCCCACATGACACCCACAGAACCCCCATGGGACCCACAGGACCCCCAGGGGACTCCCATGGCACCCACGGACCTCCCATGGCACCCATGGGACCCCCACGGGACCCCCAGGATCCCCATGGACCCCCTATGGCACCCCCTGCAGACCCCTCAGACTCAGGGAGCCCCCAAACTTCCCCCCAGTCCCCCATGAGGGTCCCACCCGGGGGTCCCACACACACCCCCCTTCCCAGCCCCCAATCTGAGGGTCTCCCCCACCCCTCCCTCACCTCACGAGTTTGGGAGTCCCCTCTGGGGGTCCCACCCCCTCCTCCCCTCCCCAGCCCCTCAATCTGGGGGTTCCACCCAGGAGTGGAACCCGCCTTCCCCCCAGTTTGGGGGTCCCCACCCAGGGGTGCCACCCCCCTCCTCCCCTCCCCAGCCCCCTGCTCTGGGGGTCCCACCCCCCTCCTCCCCCTTCGGCCCCCAGGTTGGGGGTGTTGTCCCCCCCCCTCAGTCTGGGAGTCACCGAGGGGGTCCCGCCCCCCCATTGGGGGTCTCCCTCCCCCTTTGAGGGTCTCCCCCTCCGTAGGATCTCCCCCCACACTTTGGGGATCTCCCCCTCCCTTTGGGGTTGCCCCCTTTGGTGTCTCCCTCCCCCTTTGGGGTCTCCCTCCCCCTTTGGGGTCTCCCCGCCCCTTTAGGATCCTCTCCTCCTCCCTCCCCCCTCTCCACCCTCCTCGTCCCCCCTCCCCCTTTAGGATCTCTCCCCCGCATTTGGGGGTCTCCTCTCCACTTTAGGTTCCCCCTTAGGTTCTTCCCCCCCCCCCTTTGGGGTCTCCCCCGTTGGGAGACCCTCCCTTTTTTGGGGTCTCTCCCCCTCCCTTTGGGTTTCTCCCCCCCTTAGGCCCCCCCTTTGGGGTCCCCGTGGTCCCACCTGGTCCCCGCTGGGGGCGGTGCCGTCGCAGGGGCTGTTGTGGGGTCTGCGCAGGGGCTCCCACTGCCCCCCCCGGTCGAAGGTGATCACGGAGCGGATGGAATTGTCTGGGATGGGCACAGGGAATGTCCAGAATGACAGGGAATGGGGGGGGGGAGCTCAGCACAGCCCCTGACCCCGCAGTACCCCCAGATCCCACAGCCCCCAGTCCTGGGAAGGAGTTTGGGGGCAGGGTCACACCCCCCTCCCTCCCACCCGGGTCCCATCCCAGGAGAGGATTTGTGGGGTGGGACCCCCTTCCCTCCATCCCCCCAGATCCCAAGTCCCACCCCTGTGGAAGATTTTTGGGATGGGATCCCCCTCCCCTCCATCCCCCCAGATCCAAGAGCCCAGATACAAGATCCCAGGGGAGGCATTTGTGGGGTGGGACCCCCTTCCCTCCATCCCCCCAGATCCCAGATCCCAGACCCCAAATCCCATGCCAGGGGAGGATTTAGGGGATGGGATCACCCTCTCCTCCATCCCCCCTATCCCAGATCCCAAGGGAGGATTTGTGGGGTGGGATCCCTCTCCCCTCCATCCCCCCAGATCAGATCCCAGACCCCAAATCCCACCCCTGTGGAAGATTTTTGGGGTGGGATCCCCCTTCCCTCCTCCATCCCCTCAGATCCCAGATCCCAGGGCAGGATTTTTGGGATGGGATTACTCTCCTCTCCATCCCCGCAGATCCCTGAACCCTGAAGAGGATTTTTGGGATGGGATCACCCTCTTCTCCATCCCCCTTAACCCAAATCCCAGGAGTGGATCCCAGTGGTGGATCCCAAGTATGGATCCCAGGTCCCAGGGATGGATCCTACAGGCAGATCCCAGGTCCCAGGGTAGATTCCAGAGGCAGGTCCCAGATCCCAGGGTGGATCCTAGCCGGGGGGTGTGTGGATCCCAGGTCCTGGATCCCAGGGTGGATCCCAGAGGTCGATCCCAGATCCCAGGGGTGGGTCTCAGCCCCCACTAATGGATCCCAGGGGTGGGTCCCAGATTTCAGGAGTGGGTCCCAGGGGTGGATCCTAGGCCCCAGGGATGGATCCTAGATCCCACAGGCAGATCCCAGATCCCAGGGGTGGATTCCAGATCTCAGGGATTGATCCCAGATCCCTGAGTGGATCCCGAGGTGGATCCCGGGGCAGATCCCGGGTGGATCCCAGGGCAGATCCCGGGTGGATCCCAGCCCCCAGGGTGGATCCCAGGGCAGATCCCGGGTGGATCCCAGGGCAGATCCCAGGTGGATCCCAGGGCAGATCCCGGGTGGATCCCAGCGCACCCTCGGCCAGCACGCTGGTGATGAAGGTGCCGCGCAGGGAGGTGACGTTGGTGAAGTCGGTCTCCCCGCCCGTGGTGGTGTACAGGTGCCTCTCCAGGGACTTGGAGTAGAGGATCCCGCGCTCGTCCGACGTGTAGATGGTCCCGAATCCCGTGTCTGCAGCGGGGGGGGCAGGAAGCACCAAATCCCCGGAAAACACAGCAGGCGGGGGGATGGTCAGCAGAGTCCCACGGGGAAACCCCCCCTGTGCTCCTCCCAGAGCTTCCCAGGCGTGTCCCACCATCCCTGCCCATCTCCCAGGGTTGTCCCACCATCCCTGCCCATCTCCCAGGCGTGTCCCACCATCCCTGCCCATCTCCCAGGGCTGTCCCACCATCCCATCTCCCAGGGCTGTCCCACCATCCCTGCCCATCTCCTGGAGCTGTCCCACCATCTCTTCCCATCTCCCAGGGGTATCCTGCCATCCCTGCCCATCTCCCGGCGCTCCTGATCCTGCTCCCGGATCCCACTCTCACTCCCAGATCTCGCTCCCACATCCCACTCCCAGATCCCACTCCCAATCCTGCTCCGGATCCCAATCTCAATCCCAATCCCACTCCCAGATCCGGCTCTCGCTCCCGCTCCTGGATCCTGTTCCCAATCCCACTCCCGATCCCGCTCCTGATCCCGCTCCTGCTCCCGGATCCCACTCTCGATCCTGATCTCACTCACGCTCCCACTCCTGATCCCAATCCTGATCTCAATCCCGCTCCTGATCCTGCTCCCACTCCCAATCTCAATCCCAATTCCAGATATGGCTCCCGGATCCTGCTCTTAGTCTCACTCCCACTCCCAGATCCCACTCCCAATCCCGCTCCTGATCCTGATCCCGCTCCTGCTCCCGGATCCTGTTCCTGCTCCCAATCCCATTCCCACTCCCGCTCACCCCCAGGCTCGTCCACGTGCATGAACACCAGGTCGTCGTTGGCGGCCAGGATGGAGTAGAACTGCTCGTGTCCCACCGAGGGCAGCTGGGCCATGTTCCAGGAATCCCCCTGGTCCAGGGACACGTGGATGCGCCTCGTGGTGCCCTGTGGGAGCAGCAGCGCCGGGATAACCCGTGGGATGGCGCAGGGAGACCACGGGACAGCGGGAAAAGCGGGATCGGCACCTGCTCCGTCATGACGGAGGCGAAGAGGAAGCGGCCGCCCATCCCGAAGGAATAGATCCGGGAGCCGATGGTCCGGAAGGATCGTCCCAGGTCGGGGGTTTTCTTCAGCTCCAGGAATCCCAGATCAGCTTCTTAACGCATGGGAGGGGGGGTCAGGGGGCTCCGGAGGGGTTTGGGATGCTCCCAACCCCCCCATCCCGCGGGACTCACTGCAGGAATTGTTCAGGAACGTGGTGAAGAAGATGGTGTCGTTCTCGCCCCTGAGGGAAGAGGGAATTCAGGAATTCAGCCCCAAGAAAAGGGCTGGGATGTAATTTGGGGAGGGGAGGGGGGGGGTGATTCCCGAAATGCCGTCCCCCCCCATTCCAAAATCCAGCAGGGACTCACCACTTGGCCAAGCACACGGATTTGTGGATCTCCCGCCAGTGCTCCCCGAAATCCGTGGAGATCCAGAGCCCGTTCTGGGACGGGGGGATTTGGATCAGGATGGGCTCCCCCAACAACCCCACCCCGTGTGCCCCCAGCCCGGGGCCCCACCAGTGTCTCCAGCACCCCAAAAGTGTCCCCAGACACCCCAAAAGTGTCCCCAAACACCCCAAAAGTGCCCCCACGCCCCCCCCAAGGATCCCAGTCACCCCGCAGGTGTCCCCAGGTGCCCCACAAGTGTGCCCAGACACCCCAAAAGTGTCCCCACCCTCCCCACGTGTATCCCAGTTGCCCCCCCAGTGTCCCCAGTTGCCCTCAAATGCCCCCAGCTGCCCCACAAATGTCCCAAATTACCCAAAAGTATTCCCCGGTCCCCCACCAGTGCCCCCAGTTTCCCCCCTAGTTGCCCCCAAGTTCCCCCCAGTGTCCCCAGTTGCCCTCCCAGTCTCCCCAGTCCCCCCAGTGCCCCCAGTCCCTCGGTGCTCAGTGCCAGCAGGCGCTCTGCCCCAGTTCCCCCCAGTGTCCCCAGTTGCCCCCCCAGTCCCCCCAGTGCCCCCAGTACCTCGGTGCTCAGTGCCAGCAGGCGCTCTGCCCGCCGGGGGCTGTAGGAGATCTGGGCCAGGGGGTGGAAGGGCAGCTCCGTGGGCACGAAATTCCGGGCGAAGTCCCAGGAGCGGAAAATGCGCCCGCCACGCCCGCCCCCAGACACGTCCCCCGTCAGGATCACCTGCATTTGGGGGGTGTCAGGGGATATTGGTGCAATTTCAAGGGATTTGGGAAAGATTTGGGGGGATTTGGGGGGATTTTAGGGGGATTTCAGGGGACTTTGGTAGAATTTCAAATTATTTGGGAGACTTTGGGGGATTTGGGGGGATTTTAGGGGGATTTCAGGGGATTTTGGTGGAATTTTGGGGGATTTGGGGGGGATTTTGGGGATTGTGATGCAATTTCACCCCACGCAAAACACAAAACACAGAACACCCCACGAGGGAAAGCCAGGGAAATCTGGGGGGGGTCCCAAATTCCCGGATCCCTCCCCCCGCTCCCTGCCCACCTTCCCGGAGTTCTCGGGCCCGATGGCCATCCCGAATTCCGTGCGGATGAAGGTGTTGTTGATGAGCCCCGTGATGTCCTGGAAGGTTTTCCCGTAATCCTCGCTGGAATTCCAGAGGGGTTAAGGGGGCGGGGTTAAGGGGGGACAGGGTCAGGAGGGGCGGGGTTAAGGGGGCAGGGTTGGGGGAGGGGTTGGGGTGGGGTTAAAGGGGGAGGGTTAAGAAAGGTGGGGTTAAGGGGGGTGTGGTTAAAGAGTGGGGTTAAGGCAGGTGGGGTTAAGGGGCGGGGTTAAGGCAGGTGGGGTTAAGGGGTGGGGTTAAGGGGGGAGGGGTTAGGGGTCGGGTTAAGGGGGTGGAGTTAAGGGGTGGGGTTAAGGGGGGAGGGGTTAGGGGTGGGGTTAAGGGAGGTGAGGTTAAGGGAGGTGAGGTTAAGGGGGCAGGGTTAAGGGGGGAGGGGCTAAGGGGCAAGGGGGTCCCATTTTGAGGGGGTCAGGGGGGTCACCTGCGGTAGAGCTTGGACTGCCCGAAGCTCATGATCACCAGGGGCACATGGAATGTCGTCAGCACCAGGATCACCTGGGAAAGGGGCGGGGGGGGTCACATGGGGGTCCCTGGACACCCCACAGAGGGGGGGTCCTCCCTGCACCCCCTGCCCTCCAGCATCTCGGGGGTGGGGGGGACAGAGGGGAGGGACAGGGGGACCCCCAACCCACAGGGCATGGGGGGCAGAGACCTCAGCCCCACAGGACATGAAGGGGACACAGGGACCCCCAACCCACAGGGACATGGGGGAACACAGGGACCCCAACCCACAGGACATGGGGGGACAGAGAGACCCTCAGTCCCACAGGTCATGGAGGGGACAGAGGGACCCCCAGTCCCACAAGAGATAGCAGGACCAAGGGACCTCCAACCCCACAGCCCCTCAGGGACACGGAGGGGACAAAGGGACCCCAAAAGTCACAGGGACATGGGGACAAGGAGGGGACTGAAAGACCCCCAATCTCACAGCCCCGCAAGGACACTGGAGGGACAAAGGGACCCCCAACGCCACAGATCGTGAAGGACACCGAGGGACCCCCAATCCCACAGCCCCTCAGGGACATGGTGGGGACAGAGGGACCCCCAATCCCACAGCCCCTCAGGGACATGGTGGGGACAGAGGGACCCCCAGTCCCACAGCCCCTCAGGGACATGGTGGGGACAGAGGGACCCCCAGTCCCACAGCCCCTCAGGGACAGGGGGGTTCAAAGCCCCTCGGGGGGGGGGGACACAGGAACCCCGCTGTGCCCCCCCAGTGCTCACCCCGGTGCTGTCGCCCACCCAGGACAGGGACACGGAGCCACTCAGGTCATCAAAGACACACTGCAGGGGGAGAGACATCACAGGGACCCCCAGAGCTGGGGGGGACAGCAGGGGACCCCCCACAGCGACAGAGTCCCCCCCTATAGCAACAGACCCCCCCCACAGGGACAGACCCCTCCACAGCAACAGACCCTCCCCCACAGGGACAGAGCCCCTCCCCCACAGGGACAGACCCCCCCCCCACAGGGACAGACCCTCCCCCACAGGGACAGAGCCCCCCCCCATAGGGACAGACTCCCACACACAGAGACAGACTCCCTCATAGGGACAGACCCCCCGATAGCAACAGACTCGCCCCATAGGGACAGACTCCCCCTCAGGGACAGAGCCCCCCCAGCACCAGACCCCCTCCCAGGGCAGGGCTGTCCCCTGCCACCCCCCAGGACAGTGACACCACCCTCTCCCCCCCTCAGCCCCCCCGGGCCGTGCTGGGACCCCCCACCCCACCCACGGCCACCCCTGCCAGCCAGGGACCCCCCGGGACACGAGGGGGACTGGAGGGGCTGCGGGGGGGCAGCTGGGGACACTCGGGGGGGCCTGGGGACACTGGGAGGGGGCACAGGGACACTCATGGGGGTCTGTCTGTCTGTCTGTCTGTGTCCCAGGGACTGCAGTGTCTGTGTGTCTGCCTGTCTGTCCATCCCAGGTGGTGCAGTGGGGGATGTCTGTCTGTCTGTCCATCCCAGAGCGTGCAGTGTCTGTCTATCTGTCTGTCTGTCCATCCCAAGGGGTGCAGGGGGGGATGTCTATCTGTCTGTCTGTCCGTCTCACCCCCACCTGCCATCACATGCGGGGGGTCGGGCTCTACCAGGGCAGTCTGTCTATCTGTCTGTCGGTCCGTCCGTCTGTCGATCCACCTGTCTGTCTGTTTGTCGGTCTGTCCGTCCGCCTGCCTGTCTATCGGTCTGTCCGTTTGTCACTCTATCGCTCTATCAGTCCGTCTATCGCTCTGTCCCTCTGTTGCTCCGCCTATCGCTCTGTCCGTCTGCGCCTCTGTCTATCGCTTTATCAGTCCGTCAATCGCCCTGTCTGTCTCTCTGTCAGTCCGTCTGTCTCTCTGTCTTTCCGTCTATCGCTCTGTCCGTTTCTCCCTCTATCCCTCTGTCAGTCCGCCTGTCCCTCTGTCTCTCCGTCTACAGCTCTGTCCGTCTGTCCGTCTATCTCTCTATCAGTCCGCCTGTCCCTCTGTCTCTCCGTCTATCTCCCTGTCCGTCGGTCCGTCCGCCCGTCCCGCAGGGCGGGGGCGGGGCTGGGGGGGCGGGAGGTGCGTGTCCCGGCCGGAGGGCGGAGTGTCCCCGCGGTGTCCCCGCCGTCCCCGCGGTGTCCCCGCTCCCCGCACAGCCCCCTCCCCTCTGCCCGTCCGTCCGTCCGCCCGTCCGTCCGCGCTCACCTGGTGCGTGTTGTTGCCGAGCGCGGCCGCCGCCCCGCGCAGGTCGGCGCAGGCCTCGCCGCCGCCGCGGGGGTCCCGGTGCGGCCCGCGGTGCCTCAGCCCCAGCGCGGCCCCCGCGGCCACGGCCAGGCCGAGTCCGAGCGCCAGACCCAGCGCCGGGCCCGGCCCCGCGCCCGCCCCGCGCCGCGGCCCCATCGCGACTCCCGGCCCGGCACCTCCGCGCCCGCCGCGGCCCGCCCCACAGCTCCCATTGGCTGCCGTGCCGCACCCCCGCGCTCTGATTGGCTGTGCGAGGTGTCGCTCAAGGCGCGGCCACGCCTTCTCCTTGCCGTCATCGCTCACCCTGCTCTGATTGGTTTGGTTGTTTGTCAATCATCACCGCCTCCTGTCGTGATTGGCCGTCGGCGCTTGCACGATGGAGACGAGCCCGCCCCCCTGCCCGCTGACACCCGTGCGCTAATCTACCTAGCGACAGCGCTCTCGTTGGCGGGCGGCGCCGCGGAGATTTTTCTGATTGGTCGGAGGCACAGGTGGCGGGGGGCGCGCCGGGCCCACCCGGCCCGGTCAGAAAGTGAAGGAGCCCACGTGCGCGGGGACCCTCGGGGGGCAGGGGGGGCCCAGAGAGGGGACAGAGGGCCCAGGGTGGGGACAAGGGGTCCCAGGGGATCCCGGGCTGGGGACAAGAGGACGAGGGCTGGGGACAGGGGGGCCTGGAGCGGTCCCGGGGCGGGGACAGGGGGGTCTCAGGCTGGGGAGCGGGAGTGGCGAGGGGGGCACGCAGGGGTCTGGCGTGGGGACAGAGGGGTCCCAGGGCCAAGAGGGTGGTCCCGGCGTGGGGACAGGGGGTACACGGCCTGGGGGTGGCTCAGGGCACGGCAGCGGGACACCCCCCAACCCCCCGCGACCGGCTCCTCCCTCGGTGTCCCGGGAATTTTGGGGCCCCTTCCCGTTGCACAATCGCCCTGAGCAGTTGGTGCCGTTCCTGATGCAACGACACCACCCCCATCCCCCACAAAACGGGGGGCTGCACATGGAAAACCCCCTCGGGATCAGGAACCGGGAGATCCTGGAATTCCCAGCCCGGCAGAGATGGGATTGACCCTCGTGCTCATTGTCCTGACCCTCATCCCGCATTAAAAAAAAAAAAAAAAGGGAATTTTCATTGTGCTGAGGGGAAAATTTCATCTTCCTGCCTCTTTTATTCCCTTTTCCCGGAAAACAGGGAGCAGGGAAAGGGCTCTGGGATGGATCCCACACGGAGCACAAGGGCCCCGGGCCCACAGGAGCCAAGAATTTGGGGCAACATTTCTGAGGTAAAAAAATGCAGATTTGGGGGTCTGGAGTAGATTTTGGGGTGAAAAGGGCAGATTTTAGGGGGGGGTAGTGGTGAGGGAATCCTGAAGGAAAAGGAGCCAATTTTGGGCCCCTCAAAAATTCTGATTTGGGGCTCTGGGGCAGATCTTCAGGTTGAAGAGGAAGATTTTGGGGGGTGGGAGGAAATCCTGAGGGAAAGTCAAGTTTTGAGGCAAAAAAAAAAACCAAAAAAACACCAGATTTTGGTGTGGAAAAGGCAGATTTTGAGGGGGAAAAATGGGAGATTTGGGGGTGATGAGACAAATATTGGGAGTGGGGACATTCCTGAGGTAAAAAAAAAATGAAGATTTTGGGCTCTGGGGCAGATTTGGGGCTTGAAGAGGCAGATTTGGGGGTTGGGAAGAAATCCTGAGGGAAAAGAAGCAGGTTTTGAGGCCAGGAAAAAAAAAAGCAGATTTTGGGGTCTGGATCAGATTTAGAGGTAAAAAAAAAAGGTAGATTTAAGGGTGATGAGGCAAATATTGGGGGGTGGGACATTTCTGAGGTAAAAAATTTTGATTTGGGAGGTCTGGGGTAGATTTTGAGGTGGAAGAAGCAGATTTTGGGGGCGGGAAGAAATCCTGAAGGAAAAGCAGTTTTTGAGGCAAAAAAAATACAGATTTTGGGCTCTGGGGCTGATTTTGGGGAGCAAAAGGCAGATTTCAGGGGGTGGGAGGAAATCCTGAGGGAAAAGGAGCAGATTTTGAGGGGAAATATGCAGATTTGGGGGTGATAAGACAAATATTAGGGGTGGGGACATTCCTGAGGTAAAAAAATTCTGATTTTGGGCTCTGGGGCAGATTTGGGGTTGAAGAGGCAGATTTTGGGAGGTGGGAGGAAATCCTGAGGGAAAGAAGCAGGTTTGGAGGAAGAAAAAAAAAAAGCAGATTTTGGGGTCGGGAGAAAGGTTTAGAGATAAAAAAAAAAAAAAAAAAAAAGGTAGATTTGGGGGTGATGAGGCAAATATTGGGGGGTGGGGACATTTCTGAGGTAAAAAATTCTGATTTGGGAGGTCTGGGGTAGATTTTGAAGTGGAAGAGGTGAATTTTGGGGTGGAAAGGGCAGGTTCTGGGGTGGAAAAAGCAGATTTTGGGGTGGAAAAGGCAGATTTTGGGCGGTGGGAGGAAATCCTTGGGGGAAAATGTGTGGATTTGGGGGAACAAAAGGTCCCCTGGCAATGCCACCCCAGCCTGGTGACAGGACGGGGCACAAAGGGCCATTTCTGTCCCAAAGGGCCATTTCTGTCCCAAAGGGCCATTTCTGTCCCGGGGGGAACAAAGGGCTTTTGTGTCCCTGGGACACAAACAAATCCAGCTGGAACAGCCCCCAGGACAGCCCTGGGCCTCATTCCCAGAGGGAAGCTGAGCTCTGGGATGATAAAGTGGGATAAAGGGTGAGGGCTCTGCTCCTGCTCCTCTGGATATTCCGGATGGAGCAGCTCCTGTCCCACGGCCCTGCCCCAGTTCGGGCTGGGGGGAGGAGTGGCCCAGCATTCCAGAATCCAGGTGAATTCCCCACATTCCAGGCTCCAGGGAATGTCTTCCCAAAGGGAAAAAGCCATTAATGGATTAATGCAGGGACAGGGGTTGGATCCAACCCCACCCCAGGGGAGCCAAGGTGTTCCCTTCAGACTCCTCTGGGAGAGGAGAATTCCCAAGAGGAGGGTTCTGGGTTAGGCCTGTTTTTCCAGACCTGGCCTCCCTTCCTGAATCCAGCTGGGAATGGCAAGAGAGGGGAAAATTAACAGTGGTTTTTGGTGGAAAAGGAAAGGGGGGAAATGGCGAAAAGGGAAAAAGGGAAAAACAAGGGGGGTGGAAGGAGAAGAAGGAAAAGGGGAAAGAAGGGGGAAAGGCGGTTTGGAATTTAAACTTGCAATTTCTCCTGGAATTGGGATTTAAAATTGCAATTTATTCAGGAATTGGAATTCAAAATTGCAATTTCTCCTGGAACTGGGATTTAAAATTGCAATTTATTCAGGAATTGGAATTTAAAATTGTAATTTGCCTTGGAACTGGAAACTGGAATTTCTCCTGGAATTGGAATTTAGAATTGCAATTTATCCTGAAATTGCAATTTAAAATTGTAGTTTCTCCTGGAATTGAGATTTGAAATTGCAATTTATTCAGGAATTGGAATTTAAAATTGGAATTTCTCCTGGAATTGAATTCCCAGGCCTCTCCCCTTCCCAGGCAGAGCTGGTTTTCCACACAACCACGATTGTACAGGAAAATACTCTCATAATCTCAGTTTATTCCCTTATCAGACCGATCCTTGATTCCCAGACTCTTTTTGGAGGACAGGGATAGAGATTCCCACTGGAGAATGAGAAACTAAGGGAAGAAAATTGGGATAAGCAGGAATTGTTTGGTCAAAAATGGGGTTAAACCCATAAAATCCGATGGTACCTGCAGGATTTGAGAGGTTTGGAGGATTTTTATCCATAATAAAATCCTCTATCCATGTTCCTGCTTGGTGGGCTCTGTTTTATGACTTTTTAGGGATTTTTCCAAGCTTTTCTGGAAGGAAACCCGAGGTTATAGGAAGGAGTCAGAGCTCCTGGGATAAAAACCACCGGAAAAGGGAGCGGGGGGAATGCACCAAACAGGTCCAAAAAGCCCTAATTTTTAAAGAGAACTGTGGGATTCCACCTGGAATTCCCCATGGATTCACCACGAGAGGGAGACTCTGCCCCAGCAGAGCCCCCTGGCCCCGCTCCCGTCCTGCTCCACCCCCAATCCCTGCTCCAAACCCCCTCTTCCCACCTTTTCCCCCCTCTCCCAGGGCCCCAAAGGGAATAACAAAATCATTTATTTCATTCCCTCCTCGGTTCTGTCCACAAAGAGTAAAAAACACCTCCGGATCTGGCGGGATAAAGGAGGGGAAATCCCAGGAACTGGGTGCACTGGGAGAGTTCCTTCGATCGGGAGTGGGAAACTGGAGCTTCTGGGGGGGGTCCTTGTTTTTCAGATATCCTTGATAACCTCTTCCAGCTCCTCCTTGGTGTACATGTGGAATTTCATCCCGGGCTCCACCGTGGCCAGCTGGAAAACAAGGAATAAGGGGTTAAGGGGCTGAGGAAAGCAGGGAGCAGCTGTTCCCCGAGCTGCCAGCCCTCATTCCCTAAAATAGCTGCTGGCTGCACAAATAGCTTTGGATTGACTCAGGCTCCTCCAGGAGCAGGGAACTGCAGTGGGAGCAGGAAGGTGGGGGGGAGGAAAGGCATCAAAAAAACCCGGGAATAAGGGAATTCCTGCCTCTTCTCCTCCAAGAGGATAAATCCCAGCCTGTCTGGGAGCTGGAGGAGGGCCAAACACCACACTAGGCCAGGCCTAAGTGCATCCTGCAGGGAGATCTCCAAGGAAAAGCCCGAGGGATGAGGCTGGGGACAGCACAGGGCCAGGGCAGGCAGCCCAGGCATTCCAGAGGCAGGACAAGGGACACTGGGATGGAGGAGGAATGTGAGCGGGATGAAGGGTCACACCTGGCTCAGGGATGAGCCCAACACAGGGAAAGCTGGGCCAGAGGGACAGCCAAGGCTCCAGGAGAGAGCTGGGATGGGCTGGAGGGAGCTGGGATGGGGCAGGAGGGAGCTGGGATGGGGCAGGAGAGAGCTGGGATGGGGCAGGAGGGAGCTGGGATGGGCTGGAGGGAGCAGGGATGGGCTGGAGGGAGCAGGGATGGGCTGGAGGGAGCTGGGATGGGCTGGAGGGAGCTGGGATGGGCTGGAGGGAGCAGGGATGGGCTGGAGGGAGCTGGGATGGGGCAGGAGAGAGCTGGGATGGGGCAGGAATGGCCTGGGATGGGGCTGGAATGGCCTGGGATGGGGCTGGAATGGCCTGGGATGGGGCTGGAATGGCCTGGGATGGGGCTGGAATGGCCTGGGATGGGGCTGGAGGGAGCAGGGATGGGCTGGAGAGAGCTGGGATGGGGCAGGAATGGCCTGGGATGGGGCAGGAACAGCCTAGGATGGGGCTGGAGGGAGCTGGGATGGGGCAGGAATGGCCTGGGATGCTCCTGAACTGGGAACACAGTTTGACTCCTTAGGGATCAGATTATCTGGGATGCACCCAAGAAAAGCTGTGGAGCATCCCAGCGAATCCCAGAGCTCTCCCAAGCTGACTCTGCTCCCAGAATCCCCCCTGGAGCAGCACAAGGGGAGGGGCAGGATTTGGGGGAAGGGAGGGAGCCCAGGAGGTGTTTCCCACGAGAAACATCCCAACACTCAGCCTGGGAGCTCAGGGTTTACCTGGAATTCTGAGACACCTGGAGATGCCCTTTAGACCCTTTAAATCCTGGAATGGTTTGGGTGGGAAGGGCCCTTAAATCCATCCAATCCCACCCCTGCCATGGGCACCTTCTGCTATCCCAGGCTGCTCCAAGCTCTGGCCAACCTCACCTTGAGCACTTCCAGGGATGGAGCATCCAGAGCTTCTCTGGGCACCAAACCTGGATTGATCCTGGACCCAACCAGCCAGAAACACCCCAAACCATCCCTAAATTCCCCAAAAACGTGCACAAACAGCCAAACTCAGCCCTCGGAGACACCAATCCCGTCGCTTTTCCAGCTCTCCTCAAACCTTCTCCCTGCAAACCTTCACTCCCCCATTCCCAAGCAGCTTTGACAGGGAAGTCATTCATCTGAAAATCCATAAAAACCCTTCCAGGCTCCCAAACTTTGCCACCAACGGATTTAACTCTTCCACAGCCTCGCTTTTGTTCCTGGATGGAAAACCCCCGGGATCCATGGGAGCAGCACCTCCTTCCAGGAACCAAAGGGCCCTGGGGGTGAGTGGAGTTGAGGGGAACCTTTGGATCCCTCAGCACATTCCGGCCCCCCTGGCACCATTCCCATTCCTCCCCACTCCAGGGCCGTGCCAGGCACAGTTAAGCCCCTGTTAAATTGGGATATGACATCAGGATACTGTACACATTCCAGGGCCCTCACTGTACCCGGGATGGGAGAGCACCTGGGAAGGAGATTCCAGCTGGGTGGCACCGCTGTGGGACACGAGGATCCAAGTTTTCACGTGCTCTTGGCTTCCCCCTCCCAAAGGAAGCTGGTTAATCCCACTGGGAATCCCACCAGCAGGAATGCTGAAGGTAAAAATGGGGTGCAATGGGGAAAGGGCTCCCAGCAGCCAGAGGGAAGGAATGGGAGGAGAGAGGAGCTGGAATGCCGTGGTTTGGAAAGGTCTGGTGTCTCATAACCTGCCAGAAATAGAAGCAAACCCTATCCAGGGGCCTGGCTCCTCATCTCCCACTGATCCCACCCAATCCAGAGGGGGCTCCTGCCTTTCCCACCCTAAAAGGAGCCCACAAGGAGCAGGTTTGGGGGGTCAGGCACCCCCAGGCCCTGGGTTCTCCCGGGGTTCCAGGGGCACAGCCATTCCTGCAGGATCCTGCTCTGTCCCTCCAGGGCGTTCCTGGCACTGCCCCAGGCCTGATTTAGCAGCCCAGGAGCTGGAGAATTTCCATTCCTTCTAATGTTACCGGGAATGGCTGAATGCAGGGGGACAGCGAGCCACCCAGGGGGGCAACCCAGGTCCCTGCTGACTCGGGAAGGGCAGAGAACACCTTCCAAACCATGGATTAGCTGGGAAAACACACCAGGAAGGCACCTCTGGAAGGCAAAACACTCCAGCTTCTCATGCTGGAAGGGGCAGGAACATCAGCTGTTGGCTTGGGAAGCCCTGAGCTGCTCCATCACCTCATTCCCAGCTCCAGGAAGCCTTGAGATGCTCATTCCTTGCTCCAGGAAGCCCTGGACTGCTCTATTCCCTGCTCCAGGAAACCCTGGGCTGCTCATTCCGGGCTCCAGGAAGCCTTGAGCTGCTCATTCCCAGCTCCAGGAAGCCCTGGGCTGCTCTATTCCCTGCTCCAGGAAGCCCTGGGCTGCTCATTCCCAGCTCCAGGAAGCCCTGGGCTGCTCATTCCCAGCTCCAGGAAGCCCTGGGCTGCTCATTCCCAGCTCCAGGCGCATTCCCGACTCCAGGAGGACTCACCTCGATGTTGGTGGCGTTGAGTTTCTCCTCCATGACCTGTTTCAGGATCACCAGGGAGGATTTGATGGCTTCCTTCAGCGTCATGGACTGGAAAACACACAGCTCCTGGATCCCTCGGCCCTGGATGGGGCCCCTCTCCCCCCTCCCCTTCCCCAAATCCCGTCAGCCGGGATGGAGCAGCTTATCCAGGGATCTGCAGCACCATCAGGGCAGGGACATCCCCAGGGATGGTGAAATCCTGCTTTTTTTGGCTTAAAAACTGGCACTTTGGGCACAGAAATCCCACTGGTGGGACTGGGACACAAGGGGCTGGGGTTTGGCACCCACTTCCCACAGAAAAAGCCAAATTCCCTCTTGGAAGAAGCCTCTGTGTTTAATCCCATAAATCCCTGCAGGGAGCCCCAGAGCCAGAACTGGGATAATGCCAGTGGATAAATGACTCTTCCCAGCCATCTCCACAGGGAAGAGGGGTGGGAATCAAGGGAATCCAGAATCAGGAGAATTCCAGGGGATAAATGGCTCTTCCCAGCCATCAAAACTTGGAAAAGGGTTGGGAATGAAGGGAGCCCAGAATTGGGATAATTCTAGTGGAGAAGTGAGTTTTCCCAGCTGTCACCACATGGAAAAGGGTCGGGAATCAGGGAATCCAGAACTGGGACAATTCTAGTGGAAAAATGACTCTTCCCACCCATCACTCACCACTTGGAAAAGGGCTGATAATCCAGGGCATCAAGAATTAGGATAATTCTAGGGGATAAATGAGATTTCCCAGCCTTTTGCACTTGGAAAAGGGTTGGCAACCCTGGGAATGCAGGACTGGGATAATCCTAGCAGACAAATCGCTCTTCCCACTAACTGTGCTTTTCATTAAGGTTTGGATTCCCACCTCCCTCCTTGTCGTGGAGGGGCAGGAAGTTCCTGTTGCATACCCCAAATGAGCAGGAATTCCAGCAGAAGATTCCCTGGTTTCCCAGGCCTGGCCCCCCAGGGAGCCTGATGCCAATGGCAGTGCTCGGAGCTCAGGGTTATTTATAAGGAACTTCCTGCCAAGGCTTGGATTATCCCATAGGCACAGCAGGTGCTGGAAGCAGCTCTGCTCCGGGCTGTAAAGATCCACAGGATCCACGGGATCCTCACGGGATCCACAGGATCCTCACGGGATCCACAGGATCCTCATGGGATGCTCTGCCAAGGGATGACCTGCCCCGAGCGGCTCTGGCACCTCCTCCTCACCCCACTCCTAAATCCTCCCTGGGAAGGGAATTCGGGGATGCCAGGAGGTGCTGGGGGTTCCCCAAATCCCTGGGATGCCAATCCCCAAATCCCAATCCCAGAGCCATTCCTTACCTTGTGATAGACCTCCTGCAGGGAGCTCTGGGCGCCCTCGGAGGCCGAGCCGATGGCTCTGGCGTCGCACTGCACGAACGTTCCCGAGGGATCCATGTGGAACCTGCGGGCACAGCGGGGCCGGCTGCATCCCAGGGACCCTCCCACCACCCCCCGGAGCTCCCGGAGCGCCTGCAGTTGGGATTCACCCCCAGGGACCCTCCCACCACCCCCCAGAGCTCCTGGAGCGCCTGCAGTTGGGATTCACCCCCAGGGACCCTCCCACCACCCCCCAGAGCTCCTGGAGCACCTGCAGTTGGGATTCACCCCCAGGGAATCCCAGGGGTTTATATCCCAAGGAGGTACCCCCTGGGAGGTTGGGAAGCTGTGCTTTGGGAGGAGCCCTCCCTGAGAGGGGCAGGAAAACTGGGAATGGGGGGCCCTGCAGCCACCTGGGACCTCTCCCCAGGGGCTGGATTTGGGATGGTCCTGGACACAGAGAACAGGGATTGTCACAGAACACATCCCATTCCAGGTTGGGAGCCTCTGCAATCCCAGTGGTGCTCCAGGAGCCCCTGGAATTCTGGAATCCCACATCCCATTCCAGGCTGGGAGCCTCTGGAATCTCAAATGGTGCCCCAGGGGCCCCTGGAATTCTGGAATCCCACATCCCCAGGTGCCATATCCAGGTGTTTTCTGGACAGCTCCAGGGATGGAGACTCCAAACGCCTCTAGGCACTCCAACACTGCCTTTGTTGCCCGAGGAGCTATTTCCCTTTGGATTTTCCCCCTTTCTCCACATTTTTTGGAGTAAATCCAGCGGGTTTTTCCTGCTGGGAGCTGAGCCTTGCTGGGCTGGCTCTGCTGAGCCCTTCCCACCTCCAGCAGGGTCCTTTGAATCCCGGAGTTCAGGTTACTGCCACCACCCCAAGGAATGTCCCAGGGATCGGGTTACCGGCCTCCTTTAGGGAAAGGGAGGAATAAACTCGGCCCAGGGAGAGCTGGAACGCTTCCCTCTTTCCCAGGAAAGCACGGCTTTAACCCAGAAAACAAGGATTTGGGGAAGATCGGGGGTGTTTCCCATGGGAACAGGCAGGGAGGGCTCAGGGAAGGGATCCATAACGGGACAGACACACGGCGGGATAAACCCTTCGGAAAAATCCCCGAATGCGCCCGGCAGGGAGTTCCCAGGGGAGGTTTGGATCTTCCCAAAGGATTGCAGGAGCAGCACTCACAGCTGGGGGCCCTTCTCATCCACTCCCCCGAAGAGCAGCGCGACGCCGAAGGGGCGGGACTGCGGGAGACAGGAGGGGACAGTGGGACACGGAGCGGGACAGGGGGGATCAACCCCCCCCGGAGCCCCCCGGCATTCCCAAATCCCTGCCAGCGCCCACCATGGCTCCGGGATCGGCGTCTTCCTCCCCGAACTGCAGGGCCAGGTTGGACACGGCCTGGGTGACGCTCTCCACCGTCATCGTCTCGTTGTAGGTGAACCAGTGGTTCTGCAGGGAAAGGGGCACAACCATTCCTGCTATCCCTGTGCTCCCGGGAAACACGGCATTCCCGGGGGGCTGCTGGGGCGGGGAGGAGCGTCCCCCCGGGGGAACACCCAGGGATTGTCTCCCTGGGGAACTCGGCGCCTGTTCTCCCGTGGAAGAGCCGGGAAGGGCAGAAATCCCCAGAAAGTCTCGGGATAACCAAACCTTGGGATAACAGCAGGGAAAGGCAAGGCTGGAATGCCTTATCCCAGCATCTGTTCTGGAAGCAATGGGTTATCCAGCTCTCCAGAGCTGGGGAATATGTAGGAAATATGTAGGATAATATGTAAGGAAAAGCCTCAGGAAAAGCCTTTACTCCAGCAGGGATTTGCCCCTGGGACCTTGGAGCATCCAGGAAATTTAGGGGGATAAAAACACATCCAATATATCCAGTGTTTTGCCAAAACAGAGGCAGGCACAGCCCTTGTGCTCCCAGCAAACCTCCCACTCCACACCTTTCCCATTCCAGCTCCTTTACTGGAATGATCTTCCCTTTCCCCGGACTCCCAAGGCATTCCCGGGATTTGTGGGATCTCACCTGAGTCTCCACTCGGGCCTTGTCAATCAAGGTCTTGGCATCGGCGATCAGGCCACTCATGGCACAGCCTGGAATGGGAGAGGAGTCATTCCACACTGTCCTCGGGATGAGTTTCCCCCCCAAACCGCCCCAAAACCCACGTGAGACACAAAGTTTCCCAAGCAGGAATGTGGGAACGGGAGAGGGTGGGATTTGCACCCCCCTGTGCTGGGCACTGGAATTCCACGCCTGGAATTCTGGGGGCAGCTTTGGGTCCCTCGGGACAAGAAGGACATTGAGGCATCCAGGGATGGGGAAGGGGCTGGAAAACCAGGAGCTCATCCTGAAAAAAAGAAGGCTCAGGGGGGACCTTCTCCCTCTCCAGAATTCCCAGACAGGAGGGGGAGCCGGGGGGGGGTCGGGCTCTGCTCCCAGGGAACAAGGGACAGGAGGAGAGGGAACGGCCTCAGGCTGGGCCAGGGGAGGGTCAGGTTGGATACTGGGAAAATTCCTGCCTGGAAAGGGCTGTAAAGCACGGGAAGGGGCTGCCCAGGGGGGTTGGAATCCCCATCCCTGGGAGCATCCAAAAAACACCTGGATGTGGCCCTTGGGAATGGTTGCACTCCATGACCCCAGAGGGCTTTTCCAACTTTGAGGATTCCACGGAAACGACTTGCTGGGAAGGGGCCCTGCCTGGCTGACCTGCAGCAGGAGCCCCTGGAACAGCCCCTAGGGAGAGGGAATGGATCTCCTGGAGCTCTTCCCATGCCCCCAGAGCAGGAATATGGGAATCTGGGAGCTCTCCTGCCCTCCAGGAGGCTGTGGGGGGCCCTCAGGGCAGAGGTGACTCTGGCTCTCCCAGAAAAACTGGCCTGGAGTCAAATCCCTGCAATTCCCTGCCCTTCCAGAGCTAAATTTGGGATGAGGGAGGTCACTGAAGCAGGGCCAGCACTTCAGCTGCCTCTTCCCTGCTCCTGGAGCTGGCCTGGAGCCTGGAAAACCAGTGCCCGGGAGCACCGGGAGGGCCCATCCCAAAGCACAGCTTCCCAAACTCCTGGGGGAGATCCTTGGGATATAAACTCCTGGGATTCCAGAGGTGCTCCCAGGGCTGTTCCCAGAGGGAGGTCTGGCCCTGGGAGGGGCTGCCCAGGGGGGTTTGGAGCCTCCATCCCTGGAGCCATCCAGAAAACACCTGGATGTGGCACCTGAGGACATGGGATTCCAGAATTCCAGGGGCCCCTGGGGCACCATTTAGGATTCCAGCCTGGAATGGGACCCTGAGTGTTCTG